TGCATACGTAAAGTAGAACGGCCAACACCGCCGAGAACGGCGGCTATCGGCAGCCTGCCGCTGCCAGTATCGACCCTCAGGTCTAGATCTAGATAATGTGGCAAAATGTGTTGTTCGCGGCCGCCGCCAGCTCCGCCGGCACGATTCGAGCCGCGCACGCGACCGGCATTAGTTTGTAGGCACTGCATAGATGAAGTTGAACGGCCAACACCGCCGAGAACGGCGGCTATCGGCAGCCTGCCGCTGCTAGTATCGACCCTCAGGTCTAGATCTAGATAATGTGGCAAAATGTGTTGTTAGCCGCCGCCGCCAGCTCCGCCGGCACGATTCGAGCCGCGCACGCGACCGGCATTAGTTTGTAGGCACTGCATAGATGAAGTTGAACGGCCAACACCGCCGAGAACGGCGGCTATCGGCAGCCTGCCGCTGCTAGTATCGACCCTCAGGTCTAGATCTAGATAATGTGGCAAAATGTGTTGTTAGCCGCCGCCGCCAGCTCCGCCGGCACGATTCGAGCCGCGCACGCGACCGGCATTAGTTTGTAGGCACTGCATAGATGAAGTAGAACGGCCAACACCGCCGAGAACGGCGGCTATCGGCAGCCTGCCGCTGCTAGTATCGACCCTCAGGTCTAGATCTAGATAATGTGGCAAAATGTGTTGTTAGCCGCCGCCGCCAGCTCCGCCGGCACGATTCGAGCCGCGCACGCGACCGGCATTAGTTTGTAGGCACTGTATACATGAAGTAGAACGGCCAACACCGCCGAGAACGGCGGCTATCGGCAGCCTGCCGCTGCTAGTATCGACCCTCAGGTCTAGATCTAGATAATGTGGCAAAATGTGTTGTTAGCCGCCGCCGCCAGCTCCGCCGGCACGATTCGAGCCGCGCACGCGACCGGCATTAGTTTGTAGGCACTGCATACATGAAGTAGAACGGCCAACACCGCCGAGAACGGCGGCTATCGGCAGCCTGCCGCTGCTAGTATCGACCCTCAGGTCTAGATCTAGATAATGTGGCAAAATGTGTTGTTAGCCGCCGCCGCCAGCTCCGCCGGCACGATTCGAGCCGCGCACGCGACCGGCATTAGTTTGTAGGCACTGCATACATGAAGTAGAACGGCCAACACCGCCGAGAACGGCGGCTATCGGCAGCCTGCCGCTGCTAGTATCGACCCTCAGGTCTAGATTTAGAAAATGTGGCAAAATGTGTTGTTAGCCGCCGCCGCCAGCTCCGCCGGCACGATTCGAGCCGCGCACGCGACCGGCATTAGTTTGTAGGCACTGTATAGATGAAGTAGAACGGCCAACACCGCCGAGAACGGCGGCTATCGGCAGCCTGCCGCTGCTAGTATCGACCCTCAGGTCTAGATCTAGATAATGTGGCAAAATGTGTTGTTAGCCGCCGCCGCCAGCTCCGCCGGCACGATTCGAGCCGCGCACGCGACCGGCATTAGTTTGTAGGCACTGCATACATGAAGTAGAACGGCCAACACCGCCGAGAACGGCGGCTATCGGCAGCCTGCCGCTGCTAGTATCGACCCTCAGGTCTAGATTTTGAAAATGTGGCAAAATGTGTTGTTCGCGGCCGCCGCCAGCTCCGCCGGCACGCTTCGAGCCGCGCACGCGACCGGCATTAGTTTGTAGGCACTGTATACATGAAGTAGAACGGCCAACACCGCCGAGAACGGCGGCTATCGGCAGCCTGCCGCTGCTAGTATCGACCCTCAGGTCTAGATCTAGATAATGTGGCAAAATGTGTTGTTAGCCGCCGCCGCCAGCTCCGCCGGCACGCTTCGAGCCGCGCACGCGACCGGCATTAGTTTGTAGGCACTGTATACATGAAGTAGAACGGCCAACACCGCCGAGAACGGCGGCTATCGGCAGCCTGCCGCTGCTAGTATCGACCCTCAGGTCTAGATCTAGATAATGTGGCAAAATGTGTTGTTAGCCGCCGCCGCCAGCTCCGCCGGCACGATTCGAGCCGCGCACGCGACCGGCATTAGTTTGTAGGCACTGCATAGATGAAGTAGAACGGCCAACACCGCCGAGAACGGCGGCTATCGGCAGCCTGCCGCTGCTAGTATCGACCCTCAGGTCTAGATCTAGATAATGTGGCAAAATGTGTTGTTAGCCGCCGCCGCCAGCTCCGCCGGCACGCTTCGAGCCGCGCACGCGACCGGCATTAGTTTGTAGGCACTGCATAGATGAAGTAGAACGGCCAACACCGCCGAGAACGGCGGCTATCGGCAGCCTGCCGCTGCTAGTATCGACCCTCAGGTCTAGATCTAGATAATGTGGCAAAATGTGTTGTTAGCCGCCGCCGCCAGCTCCGCCGGCACGATTCGAGCCGCGCACGCGACCGGCATTAGTTTGTAGGCACTGCATACATGAAGTAGAACGGCCAACACCGCCGAGAACGGCGGCTATCGGCAGCCTGCCGCTGCTAGTATCGACCCTCAGGTCTAGATTTTGAAAATGTGGCAAAATGTGTTGTTAGCCGCCGCCGCCAGCTCCGCCGGCACGCTTCGAGCCGCGCACGCGACCGGCATTAGTTTGTAGGCACTGTATACATGAAGTAGAACGGCCAACACCGCCGAGAACGGCGGCTATCGGCAGCCTGCCGCTGCTAGTATCGACCCTCAGGTCTAGATCTAGATAATGTGGCAAAATGTGTTGTTAGCCGCCGCCGCCAGCTCCGCCGGCACGATTCGAGCCGCGCACGCGACCGGCATTAGTTTGTAGGCACTGCATAGATGAAGTAGAACGGCCAACACCGCCGAGAACGGCGGCTATCGGCAGCCTGCCGCTGCTAGTATCGACCCTCAGGTCTAGATCTAGATAATGTGGCAAAATGTGTTGTTAGCCGCCGCCGCCAGCTCCGCCGGCACGATTCGAGCCGCGCACGCGACCGGCATTAGTTTGTAGGCACTGCATACGTAAAGTAGAACGGCCAACACCGCCGAGAACGGCGGCTATCGGCAGCCTGCCGCTGCTAGTATCGACCCTCAGGTCTAGATCTAGATAATGTGGCAAAATGTGTTGTTAGCCGCCGCCGCCAGCTCCGCCGGCACGATTCGAGCCGCGCACGCGACCGGCATTAGTTTGTAGGCACTGCATACGTAAAGTAGAACGGCCAACATCGCCGAGAACGGCGGCTATCGGCAGCCTGCCGCTGCCAGTATCGACCCTCAGGTCTAGATCTAGATAATGTGGCAAAATGTGTTGTTAGCCGCCGCCGCCAGCTCCGCCGGCACGATTCGAGCCGCGCACGCGACCGGCATTAGTTTGTAGGCACTGTATACATGAAGTAGAACGGCCAACACCGCCGAGAACGGCGGCTATCGGCAGCCTGCCGCTGCTAGTATCGACCCTCAGGTCTAGATCTAGATAATGTGGCAAAATGTGTTGTTAGCCGCCGCCGCCAGCTCCGCCGGCACGATTCGAGCCGCGCACGCGACCGGCATTAGTTTGTAGGCACTGCATACGTAAAGTAGAACGGCCAACATCGCCGAGAACGGCGGCTATCGGCAGCCTGCCGCTGCCAGTATCGACCCTCAGGTCTAGATCTAGATAATGTGGCAAAATGTGTTGTTAGCCGCCGCCGCCAGCTCCGCCGGCACGATTCGAGCCGCGCACGCGACCGGCATTAGTTTGTAGGCACTGCATACATGAAGTAGAACGGCCAACACCGCCGAGAACGGCGGCTATCGGCAGCCTGCCGCTGCCAGTATCGACCCTCAGGTCTAGATCTAGATAATGTGGCAAAATGTGTTGTTAGCCGCCGCCGCCAGCTCCGCCGGCACGATTCGAGCCGCGCACGCGACCGGCATTAGTTTGTAGGCACTGCATAGATGAAGTTGAACGGCCAACACCGCCGAGAACGGCGGCTATCGGCAGCCTGCCGCTGCTAGTATCGACCCTCAGGTCTAGATCTAGATAATGTGGCAAAATGTGTTGTTAGCCGCCGCCGCCAGCTCCGCCGGCACGATTCGAGCCGCGCACGCGACCGGCATTAGTTTGTAGGCACTGCATAGATGAAGTTGAACGGCCAACACCGCCGAGAACGGCGGCTATCGGCAGCCTGCCGCTGCTAGTATCGACCCTCAGGTCTAGATCTAGATAATGTGGCAAAATGTGTTGTTAGCCGCCGCCGCCAGCTCCGCCGGCACGATTCGAGCCGCGCACGCGACCGGCATTAGTTTGTAGGCACTGCATACGTAAAGTAGAACGGCCAACATCGCCGAGAACGGCGGCTATCGGCAGCCTGCCGCTGCCAGTATCGACCCTCAGGTCTAGATCTAGATAATGTGGCAAAATGTGTTGTTAGCCGCCGCCGCCAGCTCCGCCGGCACGATTCGAGCCGCGCACGCGACCGGCATTAGTTTGTAGGCACTGCATACGTAAAGTAGAACGGCCAACACCGCCGAGAACGGCGGCTATCGGCAGCCTGCCGCTGCCAGTATCGACCCTCAGGTCTAGATCTAGATAATGTGGCAAAATGTGTTGTTAGCCGCCGCCGCCAGCTCCGCCGGCACGATTCGAGCCGCGCACGCGACCGGCATTAGTTTGTAGGCACTGCATACATGAAGTTGAACGGCCAACACCGCCGAGAACGGCGGCTATCGGCAGCCTGCCGCTGCTAGTATCGACCCTCAGGTCTAGATCTAGATAATGTGGCAAAATGTGTTGTTAGCCGCCGCCGCCAGCTCCGCCGGCACGATTCGAGCCGCGCACGCGACCGGCATTAGTTTGTAGGCACTGCATACATGAAGTAGAACGGCCAACACCGCCGAGAACGGCGGCTATCGGCAGCCTGCCGCTGCTAG